TCTACTAATTTTCGGCTTCAGGCCAAAATTCAAAAATTGGGTGCTATGTGAGTATTGAGAGAGGGTTGAAAAACCCTTATAAGAAAAGGAATTGATTTCAGCCCATTAAGCCTAAATTTTGGCGAAATTTTGGGCAATTTTTAAATTGTTTTACTTGAGGGTTGGGCTGAGGCCTGTTTTTAGGCGGATTCATAGTTGGATTGTGTGGTTAGTTTTGGTCGGAGTTTTGTTGTACGTCTTCAACTGATAGCTAGGGTGTATCTCTTGTTTTTGGGGTTTGGCAGGAGAATTTAGCACTTTGGCTTATTAAGGTTGGGGAAGGGGGGAGGGGGGGTTTGCGGATTTAATCTGAATTAGAGTCATGAGAAGCGCGTACGTGCGTGTATGCGTATGCGGAGTGTAGGGTATGCGTGTATGCGTATGCGTATGCGTATGCGGGTGTGGGTATGCGTGTATGCGTATGCGTATGCGTATGCGGGTGTGGGTATGCGTGTATGCGTATGCGTATGCGTATGCGGGTGTGGGTATGCGTGTATGCGTATGCGTATGCGTATGCGGGTGTGTTTTTCGTTCTTATGTCTAACAAGCATGAATGAATTAACCCCTTATGGTTGGTATGTCCGATCCAAGCATAAATTCAAGTCCAGCTACAATCGATTTGACTGTGTCGAGGCCTCCCTAGGCCAATGCTGAACCCCGGCACTTTCCCCCCCCCCAAAAAATAAAGATACCAAATGCATGACAGCACAGTTATGTGTGATCATGGGCTGATTAGTCATTAGTCCATCGAGATGTCTTATTTAAGGGGAACGAATGAGCGGTTTTAATTGCATGGCCCTGAAGTAAGAACCAGATGCCAGATATAGTTTCAAGTTAGAAACCCCCAAGGTTCATGGGCCCGGAGCGAGGAGAGGGGTACTTCCCGAGCGGGTTGCTGATTTCTCGGAGCTTGTCAGATTAATAAACCAACGTTGGAGGTGATACGCATGTTGGCTAGAAAGGATTTGACTAGAATGCGCGACATTTGACCAAGGTATTATATCTGTTTTGGATATTCATGGTCGGTTCAGTGTTATGTACGACAAATCACTTTATGTCTTATGTACGATAAACCGTTTACAGTACTTGCTTATACGCATGGGGCCATTAATGTTATGCACGATAATACATATATGTACGATGTACTTTATATATCTTATAGTACTAGCATATTATTCATGGGGAAATTCACTTAATGCACGATGTACATAGGGAGGTCTTTTATTTTTCGTTGGTTTTCAATACTGATGAAGCACTTGGGGGATATAATTTGCGCGTGGGCAGGGAGTAGTTTAAGTAGAATTCTGGCTTTGGGTGCCGAGGGTAGGACGGGAAGTCCTCTCCTTGATTGTCCTGGGGAGGGTGCTCCCTCCATTTCTGGTTTACAAGACTAGAGTAATTATTATACTACAGGGACTATCTTCATTTGAGGAGTTTATTTTCAATGAGGCTAGCTAAGGGTATGAGGATAAGGATGGTGGAGAAGTATAGGAGGGACGCTGCTTGGCCGATGAGGGTGAAGGGATGTTCTACTGGTTGGCTCCCAATTCAGGTGAGTGTGAGGAGGTTGGCGGTTAGGATTCAGAATAGGCATTGGTTAATTGGCTGGAATATTATGCTGCGTTGTTTAGATAATCGTAGGGTTGGGATGAGTGCTAGGATTAGAATGGATGTAATTAGGGCGAGGACTCCTCCTAGTTTACTGGGGACGGAGCGTAGGATTGCGTAGGCAAATAGGAAATACCATTCTGGTTTGATGTGGGATGGTGTGTTTAGGGGGTTGGCTGGGGTGTAGTTGTCAGGGTCCCCTAGGAGGTCTGGGTAGAAGAGAGTGAGGGTGAGGAGTAGTAGGACGAGTAAGAGTATTCCTAGGATGTCTTTAATTGTATAGTAGGGGTGGAATGGGATTTTGTCTGAGTTTGATGGGATTCCTGAGGGATTGTTGGATCCAGTTTCGTGTAAGAATAGGAGATGAACGATTACTAGGGCTAGGATAGCGAAGGGGAGAATAAAATGGAGGGCGAAGAAGCGTGTGAGGGTGGCTTTGTCTACTGAGAATCCTCCTCAGATCCATTCTACTATGTTCGTGCCGATGTATGGGATGGCGGATAGTAGGTTTGTGATCACTGTTGCCCCCCAGAATGATATTTGTCCTCAGGGTAAAATATAACCTATGAAGGCTGTTGCCATGATTAAGAAAAGTAGGATAATGCCGATATTTCAGGTTTCTGAATAGGTATGAGATCCGTAATAGAGGCCTCGGCCTGTGTGGATGAAGAGGCAAATGAAAAATATGGATGCTCCGTTGGCATGAGTCTGTCGGATGATTCAGCCGTAGTTTACGTCTCGTGAGATGTGGGCAATGGATGAAAATGCTGTTGTTGTGTCTGCTGTGTAGTGTATGGCCAGGAAGAGTCCTGTGATGATTTGGATCACTAAACATGTACCTAGTAGTGAGCCGAAATTTCATCATGTTGAGATGTTCGATGGTGTGGGAAGGTCAATGAATGAATGGTTAATGATTTTTAGGAGAGGGTGGGATTTTCGGATGTTGGTCATTAGGTTCTCGTAGTTGAAATACAATAATGATTTTTCATGTCATTGGTCATGGTCATAGTCCATGCGAGAATTATGATATATTTTACGTTTTTGTTAAGCGTTATTCTTGTTGTTAGTTTTATAGGGTTTTCTTCTAAGCCTTCTCCCATCTATGGGGGGGTGGGATTGCTTGTTAGTGGGGGGGTTGGTTGTAGTATTGTGGTTAGTCTTGGGGGGTCTTTTTTAGGGTTAATAGTGTTTTTGGTTTATTTGGGGGGAATGATGGTGGTGTTTGGATATACTACTGCCATGGCTATTGAGGAGTACCCTGAAGCTTGGGGATCGAATGTTGTAGTTTTGGGGGCTTTGTTGTTGGGGTTGATGATAGAGTTATTTGTAGTGTTGTGAATAGTGTGTTATGATGAGGTAGAAGTTGTTATTAGTTTTAAGAATATGGGCTATTGGGTGGTTTTTGAGGGGGAGGGGACGGGTTATTTTCATGGGGATTCTACGGGTGTAGCTGCGTTATATAGTTATGGGTGTTGATTGGTGGTGGTGGCTGGGTGGTCTCTGTTTATAGGTGTTGTTATTGTTATTGAAATTACTCGGGGTGGTTAAATAACTAGTAGTGTTGTTACTGTAATTGTGATTAGGAAAGAGAGGAAATAGAGTTTAATTAGGCCTTTTTGGTTGGAGACGTTTATCGCGGCTAGTGTTTGAAGGTGGGCAATGCTTTTTGGGGTTGTTTTTTCTAGTCAAGTCAAGTCTAGTGTTTGGGAGGCTGTGTATTGGCTTATAGTGAGGTTTAGGTGGGGTACTATTCGGTGGGCAAGGGTAGGGAAAAATCCTAAAAGGGTGGAGAAGTTGTGTAGGGGTGAGGGTGATTTGGGGTTTGGGCTGAGTGAATCTAGACATAGTTCCAGTGCTAGGATAAAGCCAAAAGTGGTAATGAGAAGGGTAGATAGCTTGAGATAAGGGGGTATAGTTATTTGGGGGATATCTGTTGGGGGGATGCTGTTTGAGATGATGAAGCCGGCGAAGATACTGCCAACTATTAAACGTTTAGTTGGGTTGGCGAAGTAGGGGTTATTTTCATTAGTGTTCATTAGGGCTAGGAAGCGGGGTTGTCCTAGTAATGTAAGAAAAATAATTCGAGTGCTGTAGGCGGCTGTGAGGGAGGTGGCAATGAGTGTGACTGTGAGGGCTCAGGCGTTGGTATACGACGTGTTTATGGTTTCGATGATCAGGTCTTTGGAGTAGAAGCCTGTTAGGAATGGCATGCCCGTTAGGGCGAGATTTCCAATGGTTAGGGAGGTTGATGTTAGGGGTATGGTCTTGTATAGGCCTCCTATTTTTCGGATGTCTTGTTCGTTATTTAGGTTATGGATAATGGAGCCGGAACATATAAATAGTATGGCTTTGAAGAATGCGTGTATGCAGATATGGAGGAATGCCAGGTACGGTTGGTTAATGCCGATTGTTACTATCATTAGACCTAGCTGGCTTGAGGTGGAAAATGCGATGATTTTTTTGATGTCATTTTGTGTGAGAGCGCAGATCGCTGTAAATAGTGTGGTGAGGGCACCTAGGCATAGTGCTAGCGTTTGAACCGTCTTGTTATTTTCTATTAGGGGATGAAATCGGATTAGTAGGAAGATTCCTGCTACAACTATTGTACTGGAGTGGAGTAGGGCTGAAACGGGTGTGGGGCCTTCTATTGCAGAGGGAAGTCACGGGTGTAGGCCGAATTGGGCGGATTTACCTGCTGCTGCAAGTAGAAGGCCTACTAGTGGGGTGAGATTTGGGTCTGTGTTGAGGATAAATAGTTGTTGGAGGTTCCACGTGTTTGAGTATGTGGAGAATCATATTATAGCTAGGATAAATCCAATGTCGCCGATGCGGTTGTAGATAATTGCTTGTAGGGCTGCTGTGTTTGCGTCTGTTCGGCTATATCATCACCCAATTAGGAGGAAGGATATAATGCCTACTCCTTCCCATCCGATAAAGAGCTGTATTAGATTATTGGCGGTTGTTAGGATGAGTATTATGGTGAGAAAAATGAGTAGGTATTTAAAAAACTTGTTGATGTTGGGGTCTGGTTTTATATACCAAAGGGAAAATTCTATGATAGACCATGTAATGAAGAGAGCTGTCGGGGTGAAGATTATGGAGAAGTAGTCTAGTTTGAGGTTAATGGATAGTTCTAGTGTTTGGACGGTGATTCAGTGTCAGTTGGAGGTGACTGCATCTTGGTTAGAGTAGATAAATGTGAGGGCAGGTAGAAGACTGGTTAAGAAGGCGATTTGGGTCAGGGTTTTTACGTAGTAGGGGTAGTGTTTATGTATGTTGGAGAGGGTGGGGATGATAAGAATGATAAGTGAGGTAATTATTAGTGATATGGTTAGGTTTATTACTTTCATTTGGAGTTGCACCAAATTTTTTGGTTCCTAAGACCAATGGATTGCTTTTATCCTTTGAAAGTAAGAAAGCCATATTTTTAGATATGGTTGTAAGAATTAGCAGTTCTTGAGGACTTTCTTGGTAAATAAGAGGTTGTTAAGCCTCTGATATCAGGTTCACGGCTTGATGTTTTGTCTAAACTATATTTACAGTGAAAGAGTCCCAGGGTTGTTTTGGGGTTAAGAGAGAGAAGTAGAAGTGGAATAATATGTATAAGTATTAAGGAGTTTTCCCGTGTGAAAGTTGGTTTGATGCTATTAATATGGTGTGTAAGAGTGCCTCGTTGTGTTGTGGTTAGTATGAATAGGGTGTATAAGGCTGTGATTAGTATGTTGAGTCCTGTGAGAATAATTGTAATGTTTGATCAGGAGAATGCTGTTATTATTACGAATAATTCCCCGATTAGGTTGATAGTTGGTGGGAGGGCTAGATTGGCTAGGGAGGCTAGTAGTCATCACGTCGTTATCAGGGGAAGGAGTACTTGCAGTCCACGGGCCAGGATTATTGTTCGGTTGTGGACGCGTTCGTAGTTGGAGTTTGCAAGGCAGAAGAGTAAGGATGATGTGAGTCCGTGGGCAATTATAAGGGTTATAGCCCCTGTAAATCCTCATGGTGTTTGGATTAGAATGGCTACGATCACTAGGGCTATGTGGCTGACGGATGAATATGCGATGAGAGATTTTAAGTCTGTTTGGCGTAGGCAGATAGAGCTTGTTATAATTATTCCTCATAAGGAGAGAATGAGGAAGGGGTAAGTCATGGGGGTTGTAGGGGGGTTTAGAATAATGGTGATTCGTATTATCCCATACCCTCCTAGTTTTAGAAGGATGGCTGCGAGAACTATGGATCCGGCGATTGGAGCTTCTACGTGTGCTTTTGGTAGTCAGAGGTGAAGTCCGTAGAGTGGTATTTTTACTATAAATGCGGTCATGCATGCTGTTCATAGGAGGGTACTAGACCATAGGGGTGGTGACATTTGGGTCCAGTGTGGCAACAGTAGTAGGTTTAGGGAACCGGTGGAGTTATGGATGTAGGTTAGTGCAATTAATAGTGGTATGGAGCCGAAGAGAGTGTAAAATAAGAAGTAGAGTCCTGCATTCAGTCGTTCTGGTTGGTTGCCTCATCGGGTGATGATAATTAAGGTTGGGATTAGTGTTGCTTCAAATATAATGTAAAATATTATTAGTTCTGTGGCAGCAAACGTTATGATTAGGAATAGTTGTAGTAAAACTAATATAGTGATATATAGTTTTTTTCGGGTGTGTGTTTCTTTGGAGAGGTGATGTTGGCTTGCTATGATTATTAAGGGAGGAAGTCAGGTTGTTAATATTAAAAGGGGGGATGAGAGGGGGTCTGAGAAGAAACTTAGTGATGTGATTATGCTGTTTTCGTCATTGTGGTTTAAGAAAAGAAGGGTGATGAGGCTAATCAGTAGGCTGTGAGTTGTCGAGTTAATTCAAATTATTTTATTGCTAGAATATCATGTAGTGGGGATAAGCATGATTGTGGGGATAATGAGTTTTAGCATTGTAGGAGATTAAGGTTCTGTACATGGTCCAGGCCGTAGATGTCGGAGATTATTACTAAGAGTGCTAGGCCTACAGCGGTCTCGCATCCCGCGAAAATTAAGAGAATAATAGGGAGGGTGAAGGACAGGGTGAAGTGTAGGTTTAGGGATAGGATAGTGGCCAGAATGAATAGGGATAGTATTATGCCCTCCAAGCATAATAGTGAGGATATGAAGTGAGACCGGTATATTAATAATCCCACAAGGGATGCGGTATATGCTAGAATAATGTTAATGTAGATTGGGGGCATCTAGTAGTTACGATACATCGTAATTTAATGGGTCGAAACCAGTTGTTTTAGTTAAACTAACTACTATATTCGGCTCATTCAAGGCCCTTTTGAGATCATTCGTAGGCTAGGCTTAGTGCTAGTGTAATGATTAAGATAAGTGCAATGATAAGTATTAGTGTGAGGTTATCTATTTGAGTGGCTCATGGGAGTGGGAGTAGGAGAGTAATTTCTAGGTCGAATAGCAGGAACGTGATGGCCACTAGGAAAAATTTTATGGAGAAGGGTAGGCGGGCAGATCCTACTGGGTCAAATCCACATTCGTATGGACTTGATTTTTCTGCGTAGATATATGTCTGGGGGAGTCATAGGGCAATGGTAATAAGTAGGAGTGCTAGGGTTGAGTTAATGAAAAGGGTTAGTGTTAGGTTAATTATTCTTTTCTGGGTTTGACCAGATCCTATTGATTGGAAGTCAACTGTACTAGCTAATACTGAAAGAATATGATCCTCATCAGTAGATAGAAATATATAAGAATAGCCAGACTACGTCTACAAAATGTCAGTATCAGGCGGCGGCCTCAAAGCCGAAATGATGTTTGGATGTAAAGTGGAATTTTAGTTGTCGTAGGAAGCAGATGGTGAGAAAAGTAGATCCAATCATTACGTGAAGACCGTGGAAGCCCGTTGCTACAAAGAATGTTGATCCATAAATGCCGTCGGAAATAGTGAAGGAGGCTTCGAAGTACTCTGAGGTTTGGAGGAGTGTGAAGTAGATGCCTAGGGAGATTGTGATGAGGAGGGCTTGTAGTGAATGTTTGCGGTTTCCTTCTATAAGGCTGTGGTGAGCCCAGGTGATAGATACCCCAGAGGCTAATAGTACTAGTGTATTGAGTAATGGAACTTCCATGGGGTTGAGAGGATTGATGCCTGCTGGCGGTCAATAGCCTCCTAAGTTAGGGGTTGGAGCTAGGCTTGAGTGGTAGAAGGCTCAGAAGAACCCGGCGAAGAAAAAAACCTCAGATATAATGAAGAGAATTATTCCGTATCGTAGTCCTGTTTGCACAACGGCTGTATGGTGTCCCTGAAAGGTGCTTTCCCGTACTACATCTCGTCACCATTGATATATGGTTAGTGAGTTGGTTAATAGCCCTAGGGTTAGTAGGGTGCCGGAGTTAAAGTGAAATCACATTGTCAGGCCGGACGTCATGAGTAGGGCAGATAGGGCTCCTGTGAGTGGTCAAGGGCTAGGGTTAACTATATGGTAGGCGTGGGTTTGGTGGGTCATTAGGTGTTGTCATGCAGGTAGAGGCTTACTAGGAGGGTAAATACGTAGGCTTGGATTAGGGCTACGGTGAGTTCAAGCATGGTGAGTAGGACAAGAAGGGTAAAGATAGTTGGAGTTGTTGGGGGGCTTAGGGTGATTAATGTAGATGTGGCGTTTCCAGTAAGGTGCATGAGCAGGTGGCCTGCTGTAATGTTAGCTGTTAATCGTACGGCCAAGGCTAAGGGTTGAATGAAGAGACTGATGGTTTCAATAATTACAAGTATTGGGATAAGGGGGGTGGGTGTGCCTTGGGGTAGAAGGTGAGCCAGGGATTTTTTTATTTTGTTGCGAAGGCCTAGGATTACTGTTCCGGCTCATAGGGGGATTGCTATACCTAGGTTTAGTGATAATTGGGAGGTAGGTGTAAATGAGTGGGGTAATAGTCCTAGTAGATTTGTTGAGCCAATAAATAGGATTAGTGAAATTAGTATTAGGGATCATGATCGTCCTTTGATATTGTGTACTGTTATTAGTTGTTTTAGGATAAGTTGAACTAGTCATATTTGCAGAGATGTTAAGCGGTTATTGATGAGGCGGGAGGGGGAGGGATATATTATATTAGGTAAAAAGATGATAAGGGCTACGATAGGTAGACCTATTAATGTTGGGGTTGTGAATGAGTTAAATAGATTTTCGTTCATTTTTTTTCTCATGGGTTTTTGGGTTTAAACGATTTAATAGGTTTTTCTGTGGGGTCGGGATAATAAGTAAATTTTAAAAGTTTTAGTTGAAATGTAGTAAAGAGTATTAGGATTGTAAATGTGATAGTGGTGAATCATGTTGAGGTGTCCAGTTGTGGCATTTCATTGTGGGAAGGTTAGTACTTCCATTCTTTAACTTAAAAGGTTAATGCTGTTCAGCTTCACGATGTGCTTATGATGTTAGGGCTGATCAGGTTTCGAAATGTTTAAGTGGAATGAGTTCCAGTACGATGGGTATGAAGCTATGATTTGAGCCACAGATTTCTGAGCACTGCCCATAGAACAGGCCAGGTCGTGTTGCTGATAGGGTTGTTTGGTTCAGACGTCCTGGGATTGCGTCAGTCTTTAGGCCTAGTGAGGGCACAGCTCAGGAGTGTAATACGTCTTCAGATGAAATTAATATGCGGATTGGGGTTTCTATTGGGAGTACAGTTCGGTTATCAACTTCTAGAAGTCGGAGTTCTCCTGGTTTTAGGTCGAGGGTTGGGATTATGTACGAGTCGAAGTTTAGGTCTATATAGTCTGTATATTCATAGCTCCAGTATCATTGGTGGCCCATAGTTTTGATGGTTAAGAGGGGGTTGTTGATTTCGTCTGTTATGTAAAGAATCCGTAGCGATGGGAGGGCAATTGAAGTTAGGATAGCAGCGGGTAAGATGGTTCATATGGTTTCTACTATTTGGGCATTTATAGTGCTTGTGTGCATGAGTTTAGTGGTTAGCATTAGGGAGATGGTGTAGAGGACTAGGGAGCTAATTAAGAATACGATTATTAGGGCATGGTCATGAAAGTATAGTAGTTCTTCTATGATGGGGGAGGAAGCGTCCTGAAGCCCTAATTGTAGTGGGTGCGCCATAAAGATATAAAGGATTAGACCTATAAGTTGACTCTGACGAAGTCATGTAATGTTTTTACTAATATCTCATCTGTGGGGAAAGTCATAGGGGCTATGGGGTTGGCTTGAAACCATCTTTGGAGGGTTCAACTCCTTCCTTTCTCGTTGAGCTTTACGAATGTTGATTCTTCGAACGTGTGGTAAGCAGGAGGGCAGCCATGCAGTCATTCTAGGTTTGTGGTAGGGAGTTCTACCGTTAAGACTTCTCGTTTTGAGGCGAGAGCTTCTCATGTTATAAAGGCTATAAGTATGACCGCTGTCAAAGAGATGAAAGACCCCATGGATGAAATCGTGTTTCATGTGGTGTATGCGTCTGGATAGTCGGAGTACCGCCGTGGTATTCCTGATAGACCCAGAAAGTGTTGTGGAAAGAATGTTAGGTTTACACCTACAAATATTACTGGGAATTGAATTTTAGCTCAGGTGGTGTTAAGGGTATAGCCTGAAAATAGGGGAAATCAGTGGGCAAAGCCTCCTATAATAGCGAACACTGCTCCTATGGATAGAACATAGTGGAAGTGTGCTACTACGTAATATGTGTCGTGTAGCACAATATTCAGTGATGAGTTAGCTAATACGATTCCTGTTAGGCCCCCGATTGTGAATAGGAAAATAAAACCCAAGGCTCATAGTATGGCGGGGGATCATTTGATATTTCCTCCGTGCAGTGTAGCAAGTCAGCTGAATACTTTCACGCCCGTGGGAATTGCAATAATTATCGTGGCTGATGTAAAGTATGCTCGGGTGTCTACGTCTATCCCTACTGTGAATATGTGGTGGGCTCAGACGATAAAGCCTAGGAAACCAATGGATATTATAGCTCAGACTATTCCTATATACCCGAAAGGCTCTTGTTTGCCTGAATAATAGGTTACAATGTGGGAGATTATTCCGAAGCCGGGAAGGATAAGGATATAGACTTCGGGATGCCCAAAGAATCAGAATAGGTGTTGGTATAGAATGGGATCCCCTCCTCCCGTAGGGTCAAAGAACGTGGTGTTTAAATTTCGGTCCGTTAGTAGTATGGTGATGCCGGCGGCTAGGACGGGGAGTGAGAGGAGAAGGAGAATAGCTGTGATTAGGACGGATCACACGAATAGGGGAGTTTGGTATTGGGACATTGCTGGTGGCTTCATGTTAATGATGGTAGTAATGAAATTGATTGCCCCTAGGATTGAGGAGATACCTGCTAGGTGTAAGGAGAAGATAGTGAGGTCTACGGAGGCACCGGCATGGGCTAGATTACCAGCTAGAGGTGGGTAAACTGTTCAGCCCGTTCCAGCCCCGGCTTCTACTATTGAGGAGGCGAGTAGAAGTAGGAAGGACGGAGGAAGGAGCCAGAAGCTTATATTGTTTATTCGGGGGAATGCCATGTCAGGGGCTCCAATTATAAGGGGGACTAGTCAGTTGCCAAAACCCCCGATTATAATTGGTATAACTATAAAAAAAATTATCACGAATGCATGGGCGGTTACGATGACATTATAGATTTGGTCATCGCCGAGGAAAGCCCCGGGTTGGCCTAGCTCAGTTCGGATGAGAAGGCTTAAGGCTGTTCCTACTGTCCCGGCTCAGGCACCAAATAGGAGGTAGAGCGTGCCAATGTCTTTGTGGTTTGTTGAGAATAACCAGCGATTAATGAACATGAGTATAGGGTGAGGTGGCTGAGTAAGCGTTAGACTGTAAATCTAAGCACGGGGGTAGGTCCCTCCTTCACCAAGCCTTGAGGTGATTTATCACGTTGAATTGCAAATTCAGAAGAGCAGCTTCAATTCTGCCGGGGCTTCTCCCGCCTTTTTTTTCTTGGAGGCGGGAGAAGTAGATTGAAGCCAGTTGTTTTGGGGCGATTAGCTGTTAACTAATTTCTCGCAGGGTTGGAGCCTGTCAGTCTAGTAAGGGTTTAGCTTAATTAAAGTAGCTGGTTTGCGTCCAGTTGATGTAAGAATAGGGTCTTGCAGCCCTTAGAGCAGAAATTAAGTGGGAACACTTGCTTAGGGCTTTGAAGGCCCTTGGTCTGTTTAACCTAAATTTCTAATCTAGTATGGGGGGAATGGGGGCTAGGGGGAGAAGGAGTGTGGATAGGATTACTAGTGTTGGTAAAAAAAGTGTCTGTTTCGTGCTTTCGAATCGTCATTTTGTTTTTGTGTTATTGGTCGTTGGGAATATAGTTAGGGCTGTGGAATAGATTAGTCGTATGTAAAAGTAGAGGTTAAGCAGTGCTGCGATAGCTATGAACGTGGGTATGATGATGTTATTGTTTTTTACTATTTCTTGAATGATGGCTCACTTGGGTAGAAATCCTGTTAGTGGGGGGAGTCCTCCTAGTGATAATAGAGTGAGGGGAATTGCGAGGGCGATCAGTGAGTTTTTATTTCATAGGAGTGCTAGGGATGAGGTCGTGTGGTTGGCGTAAATGGTTAATAGGTTGAAGGTAGTGAGTGTGAGGAGAATATAAACTAATAGGTTGAGGATTGTGGTGGAGGGGTTATAGATGAGGATGGCTGTGGTTCATCCTATGTGTGAAATTGATGAGTAGGCCATGATTTTTCGTAGTTGTGTTTGGTTTAGTCCTCCTCAGCCTCCTACTAAGATGGATAGGGTGGCGGAGATTAGAATGATATGGGGACTGAGCAGTGGTGCTAGTTGAAATAAAATTGAGATGGGGGCTAGTTTTTGTCATGTCAGGAGGATTATGCCTGATGTTAGGGGGACTCCTTGTGTGACTTCTGGAACTCAGAAGTGAAAGGGGGACAGGCCTAGTTTTATGATTAGTGCTAGTGTTACTAGTAGGGTTGTTGAGGGGTTATTTATGTTTGTGGTTGTTCATTGTCCTGAGCTTGTTATGTTGATTAAAATAGCTATTATAAGGAGTATGGAGGCTGTTGTTTGTGTGAGGAAATATTTGGTGGCTGCTTCTGTTGATCGTGGGTTGGTTTTTTTTATTAGAATGGGGATGAGGGCTAATGTATTTATTTCCAGTCCTGTCCAGATTAATAGCCAGTGAGAGCTTAGTATTGTAAGTGTAGTACCTGTAAGTAAGGTTACGAGGATGGTGAAGAGAGTTATGGGGTTAATTAGTATGGGAAGGATGTGAACCAACATTTTCGGGGTATGGGCCCAATAGCTTGCTTAACTGACCTTACTGTAGGATGTGGTGTAATGGGTAGCACGGAGAGTTTTGGGTTCTCAGGAGTGGGTTCGATTCCCATAATTCTAGAAACAAGGGGGTTTGGACCTCTATCATTTACTCTATCAAAGTAACTCTTTTGTCAGACATGTTTCTTAGGTTTGGGGGGGGATGCCTGATAATAAGATGGGTATTGAGATGTGTCATATGCATAGGGCTAGTGTTAGTGGGAGGAAATTTTTTCATAGGAGATGTATAAGTTGGTCATATCGGAATCGTGGGTATGAAGCTCGGATTCATAGGAATAGGGTTGTTAGGAGCAGGGTTTTAGTGGTAAAGTTGAGTGTGAAGGTTTCTGGTATGGAAGTATTGTAGGACGTTCCTAGAAAGATGGTAATGGTGAGGGCATTTATTATGATAATATTAATATACTCGGCTATAAAGAATAGGGCGAAGGAGCCTGCGGCATATTCGACGTTAAATCCTGATACAAGTTCTGATTCACCCTCTGTTAGGTCGAACGGGGCTCGGTTGGTTTCTGCTAAGGTTGAGACGAATCATATTATGGCCAGTGGTCATGATGGAATAATTAATCACATAAATTCTTGGGTGGTGATTAGGGTTGTTAGGGTGTAGGACCCGTTCATGAGTAGGACTGCTACAAGGATGATAACTAGGGTTACTTCGTATGAGATTGTCTGGGCTACTGCTCGTAGGGCTCCGATTAGGGCGTATTTTGAGTTTGAAGCTCATCCTGATCATAGGATTGAGTGGGCGGATAGGCTTGAGATAGCAAGAATAAATATTATTCCTATATTTAGGTTGATTAGGGGGTAAGGTATTGGCAGTGGTATTCATGTAGTGAGGGCTAGGGTGAGGGCTAGTGCGGGTGCAGTAATAAATAGGAGGGTAGTTGATGTTAGTGGTTGGAGGGGTTCTTTGGTGAACAATTTTATTGCATCGGCAAAAGGTTGGAGGAGGCCAAAGGGGCCTACGATGTTGGGTCCTTTGCGAAGTTGCATGTAGCCTAATGTCTTTCGTTCTACGAGGGTGAGGAATGCTATGGCGAGTATAATAGGGATAATGAGTGAGAGTGTGTTGATAGTGTGCATATTGTTAGGAAGAGGAGTTGAACCTCTGGGTGTAAAGTCTTAAGCTTTATGCAGTTACCGGGCTCTGCCATCCTAACAAGCCCTGCTCTTGGGCTGGGGAGGAGAATCTGGTTTGAGTTGAGATTATATCATTCATTGAGGTTGGAGGTGTCCTTTGGAAGGTGGGCCTCATTTCTCTTGTCCTTTCGTACTGGGAGAAATACGTTAATAGATAGAAACCGACCTGGATTGCTCCGGTCTGAACTCAGATCACGTAGGACTTTAATCGTTGAACAAACGAACCTTTAATAGCTGTTGCACCATTGGGATGTCCTGATCCAACATCGAGGTCGTAAACTCTATTGTCGATAGGGACTCTATAATAGAATTGCGCTGTTATCCCTAGGGTAACTTGTTCCGTTGGTCAAATTATTTTGGATCAATTGGTGAATATATTACTTTGACTGGTTAGTCTAGGTCATGGTCATTCGGAGGTTTTTTTTTGCTCCGAGGTCGCCCCAACCGAAATCGCTAGCTCATAGGGTTTTGTTATTGTTGCCTGGGTTAGGTTTATATTGCTTTATTTGGGCTAGTTGATTGAAGCTCCATAGGGTCTTCTCGTCTTATTATTACATCCCCGCCTCTTCACGGGGGGGTCAATTTCACTGATCGGAGACAGGAGACAGTAAAACCCTCGTGTGGCCTTTCATGCAAGTCCCTAATTAAGGAACAAATGATTATGCTACCTTTGCACGGTCAGGATACCGCGGCCGTTGAATTGTGTCACTGGGCAGGCAGTGCCTCTAATACTTTTTATGCTAGAGGTGATGTTTTTGGTAAACAGGCGGGGTTTGTGGTTGCCGAGTTCCTTCTGTCTCTTTTAATCTTTCCTTTATGCACGCCTGTGTTGGGTTAACAGTTGGAGATGTAAGTAGGTTCTAGTTGGGTAATTTATACTGTACTGTTAACTATCAGTGGGTATTCGGTCTGATATAAGCTTGTGCGGGGAGAATGAGGTTCTTGTTACTCATACTAACAGTATTGCTTCTATATAAATATAGATTGGTCCAGTTAGATGTTAGGAGTTCGATTTGAATGGTAGGGATTAGGTTTGTGTAGGTTTATTGAGCTTGAACGCTATCTTAATTGGTGGCTGCTTTTAAGCCAACAATGGGTGGCTTGTGGCTTACTCTCTATTAGAGGTTGAGTCCTGTGTCCAAAGAGCTGTACCCCTTTGGACTAGCATTTAAATTTACGTTAAGAGTGGTGTGTTCTTTGGGTAAATTTAAAGTTGAACTAGGATTCTATATTGGACAACCAGCTATCACCAGGCTCGGTTGGCGTTTCACTTCTACTCATAGGTCTTCCCACTATTTTGCTACATAGATGGGTTTGTCCTTTTGACTGCCCGTGAGTAGCTCGTCTGGTTTCGGGGTTTTTGGCTAAAGTTCTCTTTGTCAAAGTTGTTCTGGTTAGCTCATTATGCAAAAGGTACAAGGGGGAAGCTTTGCTATTTGGTACTAGGGTTTGTTCTTTCATCTTTCCCTTGCGGTACTGTCTCTATAGCGCCTGTGGATAATTTCTATCTCCTATACTTTTAAGAGTAATTGAATGTTTTGATTTAGGGGTTAGGTTGATCTTTTATGTTTAGGTGTTTTGGGCTAGGGCCAGTTCAAAGTGGTCAGTTGAATGAAATCTTCCGGGTGTAGGCCGGGTGCTTTAGGTTAAGCTACACTTTGGTGTGTCCAAGTGCACTTTCTAGTACACTTACCTTGTTACGACTTGTCTCCTCTAGGCTGGTTTGTTGCAGAGCTGGTAAAGGTTTGTCTGTGGTGTTATTTGAGGAGGGTGACGGGCGGTGTGTGCGTGCTTCATGGCCTTTTTCAATTAAGCTCTCTATTCTTAATTTACTGCTAAATCCTCCTTTGACCTTCAGTTTTCATGAAGGTTGTCGTGGGTGGATTGTTCTAGGTTAGAAAATGTAGTCCATTTCTTCCATCTCATAGGCTGCACCTTGACCTAACGTTTTTATGTGGATTCTTGGGCTTACTTTTGTACCCTGGAGGGGTTTGCTGAAGATGGCGGTATACAGGCTGGGTTGGCAAGGGATGGTAGGGTGTATCGGGGTTTATCGATTATAGAACAGACTCCTCTAGGGGGGTGTGAAGCACCGCCAAGTCCTTTGAGTTTTAGGCCGTTGCTGGTAGTACTCTGGCGAGCAGTTTCATTTGGTTAGCTGCTTAGGTTTGCGGTTGAGCATAGTGGGGTATCTAATCCCAGTTTGGGTCTCAACTGTCGTGTATTCAGATTATTAATAAAGTCACTTTCGTGGATTATTTTACCTTTATCTATGGCTTTTTACAGCTTAGGTAAGGTTTAATTTTATTTGTTGTTTACTCTTAAACACGCTTTACGCCGAATTTTATTTGCTTGGATCAATCGTATGACCGCGGTGGCTGGCACGAAATTTACCGATCCTAAATTGGTATAACTTAGTCGAACTTTCGTTCATTGCTAAATTTTTATCACTGCTGTAGCCCGTGGGGGTGTGGCTAGGCAAGGTGTTATGAGCTACCTGGTTGGTGTGCTTGATACCTGCTCCTTTATAATTATTGTTAATTTAAAGGGCGTCTTCACGGGGGCGCGGATACTTGCATGTGTAATTTTACTGGTAGTTAATAAAAAGGCTAGGACCAAACCCATTTGTTTATGGAGTCAGGAGACTCATCTTGGTATTTTCAGTACCTTGCTTTGGCAAATTAAGCTACATCAAC